CATCCTCCCCGAGAGGAGTACATTGTACCGTCGGCATCCCGATGACCCAGCATTGATTGCTCGGGACCCCGAGCAGTTAAGAAGAGAAGACCTTCCTCATCAGAATCAGTGCGCACACTGCCTGTACCTAATGATCACCTACTGACTACACTGACAGCAATCATGAGATTTTAAGGTATAAATACTCCTTGCAAAAGGCAAAACGGGTANTCCAATCAGAGAGAACACCTGGTGATGCCGATGTAGAAAAGCATTCTTGTGGTACTTATTGAAGCACCCCTGCTTCATAGTTTACAAGATTCCTATTTTCACTTTTTAACTGAGAAAAGATAACTATTTATCATCAGATTATACAANGCAAAACGGGTAGGCAACAAAAAACTCTTTACTACAATACTCACTCAGTGTTTTCTCCTTCCTCTCTCTTTCTAAAAGACTGACTAGATCATCGGAGGGGATACGCCGGAAAACACTCTGGCGCCCTTCTAACTTGTTCTTCTTTGTTCTAGGAACCTCTTTCAGTCTTACTGGATCGTTCTTCCGTTCCCAGGGTCTCCCATTGCCATTCCAGGTTACCACCGTACCTCGCAGGCTGTTCCAAGCAGCGTGTTTGGTCACTCAACCGGCTCACTCGAGTTCACCAAGGGAGAGATCTGTTCTCGTTTTTTTATATTGTGCAGGATCTTGCACGCACAATGATATATAACTTAAGAATTGATTTTAGCTCTTTATGAACTTTATTGTGTACCGTAAACTTGATATTATATGTTATTTTATCAATTGAAACTTACATGTTTTATTGATTTGAGACCTTATTGGGATTGAGAGAGTTTTTCTACGTGGCTTGTTGCTCATCCTATGCTTAAACCTATTTTTAGATTTCGGTATTGAGGAGGATCTCGGGCGAGGTGAGCAAGTAGATTGGGATGCAAAGGTGGATCGGAATGTGGATCCAGACTTGGAGGCTCAGAGATGTTTATTTAGTTTTAAGTTTTGAACTTAATGGTTTGATCATGTACATTTTATTTTAATTAATGGTTGGAGCATGATTACTTTGAGTTTGGATGTAACTTCAAGGTTTCAATTATGTTGACTTGAAATTTTAGTTTAGTTAGTTGTTGAATGAAGAATGATTTATCTATTTTATAGTTGTATTAGCATGGCCTTATGATTGGATGATGTATAAATAGTTAATATCTTTAAATATAAATTTGGGATGTTATATCATTACTTTTGTCCTAAGCATTAAAGGTGCATCAAAGATCTTCTTGATTTCTCGTTGAAGCTTGAACTTTGTCCTTCCATATTACTTTTGGAGTTTTGATCTTTGAAACTTCTTGACCATGGTATTAAGTTTAGATTTACAAAGATTTCATGAAATTAGTCAATTATAGTACCACTAGTTGTGGATGTATGTGGTGACATGCACGACGCCACAGGTTTTCAATATCTGTTTGATCTATATTATTATTATCAGGTTTTTGGATGTTTCGAATTCTTATTTAAACTTAAAAGTATTTATTTTTATGAGTTATCTCAAAATCAAAATTAATTTATACCATAACTGATGAAATTATCATGTTACCCTTCTGTACCGTTACACAATCCAAATGTCTATCCCAAGATTTCTCGACCTCCCGGATTCAATATTATTTTGACCTAAAAATTTTCAAAAATTTATCTAATTAATCTTCTCTCTCTCTCTCTCTCTCTCTCTCTCTCTCTCTCATTCTTCTTCCTCACGGCTCTAACCTGCTCCTAAGCACAAATCCATCAATTCGACACACTCTCTCACGTCCTAATTCATCACCTTTTTTTGATGGTCAATAGTTCCTCACAGATAGTAGTTGGAATATGTTCCAAAATAAGACCTCGTAGTCTCTTCTACCAAAACTTCTTTACGTCTCTCCAATAAATGTTTTAATTTCTTCCTCGATGAATCCTGAATATTCCAAATCCATCATCTCTGTTTGCATCCAACTTTGTTCTCAGTCCAATATACATAGTTTCTGCAGAGGAAATTTATGGATATTTTAGCCTTTGCACATACTTGAATACAGAAAATTAAAAAAAAAAGATGAGTAGAACACTATTCACCAGTCACTCAAAGCAATTCGCCTGGTGCAACTTTTTGTCTCGTATTTGTATGTATATATGTATTGGAGGATATGTAAATTACTTCCCTAGTACTGGTAAGATAGACATTGTATTCGCAGAATAAGGATAACAATGGAATTCCAATTTTTGGCTTGATCGATGAAAACTACTTCGCCAGAAGTGGAGAATTGGCAGTTCTAAAAAAGTTGCTGGGGTAGCATCTGTGAACACCCATTCCATGGATCAACCCAAAAGCCAACAAATCCACCATATATGCAAATGGCTAGGGATAGACAAGTGCACTGTTGCATGATTAGTCCTAATTCCTATTGTTCCAAAAATCAAAATATCAAATCAAGGTTCTAAGTGATTTAAATATAGACAACAAAAATGATATACACCAAACAATGAAATGAGATTCGAATTGGAGTTTTAAAATCCAATCAAAATTCATATCAAAACAAATCCAATCAAGATTCAACCCATTTGACAATCCTAAAGCAAAATCTTGATTGCCAACTCCATCCAAAAACAAAACATTGTCATAAAAATTGTAGCTTCATAAAGATGACAGAAGACGGTGAAGCTTGAACTACAGTCACATTGTCTTGCAATAGTGAGTAAGGCTAGAGAGGCATGTAAAGAAGTTACCCTTGTCACCCCTAAAACTACTTAAATGAAATATTAATCAATTAAATCACAATTACAATTTTTATAGTGTCCAATCAGAGAGAACACCTGGTGATGCCGATGTAGAAAAGCATTCTTGTGGTACTTATTGAAGCACCCCTGCTTCATAGTTTACAAGATTCCTATTTTCACTTTTTAACTGAGAAAAGATAACTATTTATCATCAGATTATACAACTACTACATCTACACATTCAACACCCTCTGAAGGTCTCCAGATATATCATCCAAATGAACGATCTCTTTTTCAGTTCTTTTTGCCGTCCGTATCTGCTCTAACTGTAAATTCAATTCAGCAATTTGCTTTTGTATTCTTTCTCCTTTATCCGGTAACTTTGTAACTGTAATCTGAAACAATTTTAACAAGAAAAACAACAAAGGATTTGGAATGAAAACCAACAGTAAGTGTTCAAAAAATAACTATCAAGTCATTAATGATAAAAAAAAAAAAAAAAATCCCAATTCAACTGAATCTGAGTAAAAGAGTTGAATTCATTCTAAGCTTATATCGTCCCTCATGATTTACACAGACATAATGCATTATAGACTAGCCTACAAGTTTTCAGACGGAATTGATGGAACATCCATCATGAACAATCATCATCACCATGGGGATGTGGTTCAGACTTCAGCCTCATAGTAGTGCAGTCAAATTCTTGGTCTTACACACTGCAATATGTTCAAACTTGGTCTATATTCAGTTCAAAGATCAAACACGAGGACAGGTTAAACCCCAAGTGTGTTATATTAGCCAGCAGCATTAGATAGAGCTTAGTTTCAAAAATTACGCAGAGCCTGCTTTTGACCTGTCAAGTAAAATGAAATTTCCTTTTTTTTTGTAGTCTGCAAGCCCTATGGTGTTGCCTGAAATATTAGTTTTAATGGCAAGCAATCAAGCAAAATGACATCTACTAATAGCCTTCTATCAATGTGGATAAAACTTCAAATGTTGAAAATTTGGTGTTCTCCTTCAAACCAGTTCCCTGAGCCTCATTAAGATTGGTAATGAGTGCTTGATTTTGTTCAAAAGGATTAATACCTTGTTTGCAACAATCTGCGACAGTCTCTTGATTCTCTCCCTGATTTCAGTTTCTGTTGGTTCACTTGCACAATTAGGGGAAGCATTCTTTGTGGGCAATTTCACATCCTTTGGCTTGAATGCGTACGCACTACTGTAGAAATGAAGTTTATTTCTCATCATATGAACAATAACAATACGGCTCAAAGCATTGAATAATCATCATCTTATTATGGCCAGAATATTATACAGTTTCCGATGCAATTTTATTCTTCATCATTAACCAAGTGAAGTAAATGATTCCTGCTAGCCATACCCCTCAACATTATATTGAAGTGACGAGCTTGAACCAGATGAGTTCCCCACAATTGTAGTCCCCTTCACCCTGCACGCCCAAATATGGAGCTAAAAACATAAAACATCAAGTAACCATATGGAACTAGTTTGATTGCAATACAAAGTTAAAAAAAAGGCATCTCTGCTCAAATAGCTCAGCAAACTGTGGTCCAAAAACATGCATAACCTCAAAATATTTAGTGGCCAAAGGGAGCATCATCACCAAAATTCAGGGTTCAGAGATCAAATTACATCTGCTTTAAGCATGTAAAGGAAGCCACAAACACAATGTGTGCCACTACGTTCCCCCAACTAAGAGGCGAAACAAAAAGGTCATACCTTATTACTTCCTCATCTTCCTGAGCGACAGGTACAGGGGCCGTCTTGGAGAAAAGTAAACTATGGTGACTAACACCTGCTATGCCCAGAGTCTCTAGGAAGTCTATGTGGCCTTTCAGGGACTCAATCCTTCAGTAGAAAAGGAAGCAATCAGAAACAGGAAGAAATACACATGACAAGCCACTCAAATAACGGACATAATGGTTTTATTTGTAGAGTCACAGACCACCAAAGAATTGACTAAGCAATTTTTCTTTTCTAACTAAATGTTTGCTTTTCAGCTCTGAACTGTGAAAAAAATATGCATTTTACCATTTACTTGACTACTAGTGAGGTACTGTTTCACTTAAGCTGTATTTCCCAGCATTTAAAAAAGTTAAAACTAAAGAAGCAAAGAAAATTTGGCTTTGAACATTAAAACATCTAAATGAATGTATCTAACTAAGATCTGAAAGGAACCTATACAAAACAAATATGGTACATTGTGTGAAGTCGATCATGCTCTTCATGCAGTTGCTGCTGAGTGGGGGAAACATCAAAGCCCTGCTTGGGTAGACTAAAAAGTTCACGAAGATCCTGAAAATTTGATTAAGCACACAAAGTATACAACAAAATGATTAATAGACATAATCTGCAGTAAACAGAACGACAATAAAACACTCCCAGAAATGTNGACTAAAAAGTTCACGAAGATCCTGAAAATTTGATTAAGCACACAAAGTATACAACGAAATGATTAATAGACATAATCTACAGTAAACAGAACGACAATAAAACACTCCCAGAAATTTACCTGTTGACTGAAATACCGAATTTGCTCTTTGTGCTCGGTTGCAGTTTTGAACAATCCCCCCTTGAATATCTATGACACAAATTTTAAGCAGCCAAAAATACCATTATAGTAACTCCATTCTAAAAAGGGATGGTCAAGCCAGAAATAGGAGCAATAAATTGAAGGCCTCTCTAGAGAGCAGTGTCCCTCACCTCTATAATATTCTATATAGGCATACGTCAACATTTTGCACCAAATGAGCAATTAAGGGTTTATTATTTGATCTTATAACAACCATCAAAATGTTAGAGTAATCTTGTATAGGGGTAGTGAGGGAGAGAGAAGGGAAAGAAAAGAGATAAAGAATCCTTGTTAACACCAACTCCCGTAACGTGATCTAGTAGACTACTAATACCCTACTGGGTAATAGTTTTGGTGAAAAGATGAAAAAAGGCCTCTGTTTTATATGAGATGGTAACACACTTTGGATAAAAAAGTCCAAACAATATTTAGGTTATATTAATTAGGCAATTGCCTTATGCACGTCTACACTTTTTTGTAGCAGCCCTATATATATTTAAGAATTTTAGCCTAATTACAACTCTCTACCATCTCTCTAATGTACTGAATTTTTATTATTTGAAAAAATGGCTTTTGAAAAACAGAGGGAAGAACAAGGAGTTAAGAATTAATATTCAAAATTTAGATAATTCCACTAATGAACAAGAAGTTGAACAGATTGAAATAAGAGAAGAAGATAACACTAAACAACCACAAAAAAATCACACACGGGACGATCAATTACAAGTGGATGCAAAATTGAAGCAATTACTAAATGAAGTCAATCTTCTTGGTAAAGCTCACGCAAAAAATTTCAGGTGGATCAAAGAGTTGGTCATATAAACATTGCAATGTTAAATTTACAAATTCGTAAACCCGAATGCATTACTACTTTTTTGGTGATCCAACCAAGAAAATGTAGAAATTAAGCAATGTCAAGCGTTGATGAATAATTTGATTAAATATATAAAATTGAGAAAAAGAGTAAAAAAAACTAAAAAAAAAAAAATAGGAGTTTGTTCATCTCTGAAAAATTCTACATTGATGAAGCGACAACCTTTGNAAAAAAAAAAAAAAATAGGAGTTTGTTCATCTCTGAAAAATTCTACATTGATGAAGCGACAACCTTCGTTAACAACAGGAATAACTGAAGATGCATTCAAAATAATGAATCAAGATATTATTGACTTGAAGGCAATGAGGGGATTATGTGCTAATGTAATCCCATTCATTGTGTTGAGAAATCCTCAACTCAATGAGATGATTTCAACTATAAATAGGGGAACTAAAAATTACAAGGCTCCAAACTATAAAAAAGTAAGAACTACAATATTGGATGAGTGCAAAAAAAAATGTTACCAAAGATTTGATTCCGGTTAAAGATTCATGATATTCTAATGGCATATCCGTTGTATCATGTNTCCCATTCATTGTGTTGAGAAATCCTCAACTCAATGAGATGATTTCAACTATAAATAGGGGAACTAAAAATTACAAGGCTCCAAACTATAAAAAAGTAAGAACTACAATATTGGATGAGTACAAAAAAAAGTGTCACCAAAGATTTGATTCCGGTTAAAGATTCATGATATTCTAATGGGGTATCCATTGTATCATATAGGTGGACTTATGCAAAACATCAACCACTTATTAATATTATTGCTACAAATAGTCATGGAACCATGTTTTATATACTGAGAATTTTTCGAGGACAGAGAAAACAGATAAAACAACTGTTGATTTTTTGTTCAAAGCCATTGAAAAAGTGGCAAATTCTTGGGCATTATTGGGCCGAACTGGATTTGAACCAGCATAGACATATTGCCAATAAATAACCAAAGATATTACTTGGCCTAAGGATCAAATTGGTCATTTTTCTTGCATCTCCCCTTCCCGGAGCCCAGGTATCATATCCAATAAATGTCATACAAATTGTAAACTTGCAGGGAAGGAGGTGGAAGACGTACACACACATTTTTGTTCTTCTTGTGATGTTCATACTCTAAATCTCAATTTTAAAGACTTTACAAAGAAATTTGAGTGGTTTACAAATACTTATTGAAGAGAAAAGTCCATTTTTAAATATTTCTTAAACCATACACAAGTAGTAACCAATAGCACAACAAATTGTAAACTTACAAGAAAAGAGATGGAAAGCGTACACAAACATATATTTTGGTCTCCTTGTGTTGTTAATACTCTGAATCTCAATTTTAAAGACTTTATAAAGGAATTTGAGTGATTTACAAATACTTATTAAAGAGGAATGTCCATTTTTAAATATTTCATAAACCATACACACCCGTTGGCTATGTTTTGGACTTAATCTAAATCAGAGCTATTAAAAGTAGCAAATACTAGATTTGCATCATATTATATTTTTTGTTAAAGCGACTTGTTCACTGTAGAGAGTCCCTTGCAACTACCGTTATTCTCAACTCATGGAAAGCATTGTTGAAATCTCAAGACGAACACACAAGAAAGTTAAGTACTTTGGTTATAAAAACCGTTAAATGAAGAGTTTTGGGAAGGTGTAAAGAATATCACAAGTATGAAGTATCACAAATCCCATTTTTTTTCTTATTAAATTTTAGGATGGGGATGGTCAAAGAATGGGTGAAATTTATGAAAAGATGGGACCCTGTGTTTGGTGAAATATAAGATATTATAATGGGAGGAAAACATGTTGATAAATTTCCTCAGATTGAAAAAAGAATAATACTATTGGAACCTAATTTACTGATATAATTTGTTGACCTTATTCACTGTGACCTTTAGATTCATTATAAATCCCATCAAATATTGGAATTTAGTGTTGATTTAATGATTCTTATAAAGCCACATCATAATGTTTATAAATTAGGTCAAATTTTTAGGTCAAAATAGTATTACTCTTCAAAAAATTGTCGTTCAGAAATGGAAGAAGATGTATATTCCTTTGCATTGTCTTGGGTTTGCATTACTAATATGGTTTTATGACACCCAATATCATACTAAACTAGCACAAGGAGGTACAATTAGGAAAAATCCAAATCAAAATAGGAAAGTGATTATAGAAGCATTTAGAAAGATAGCCAAAGAAGTAGAAGAAGCATGTTGTGACCATGGATACTATTGATTGGTGGTCAACAAATGGTTCAGAAACTCCAGATTTAGTAGATGTGGCAAAAAAAGTACTAATTTAAGTTTATTATTATTTCTTTATATTGTTTATTACTGTGTTTTATTATTTGTGCATAAAATGTATTATCCCAACCAATTATATTTATTCATTAACATAAAAGTTCTTCTACTAAAAAAAATTGGAGCACAGATTTATTTATTCACAAAGTCGAGAAATAGATTGAATTCTACCAAAGCCGACAAATTAGTGTTAATCCATTCAAATATTCGTCTCCAATCACATTTCACTTAAAGCTACAAAGATGGGTCTTCTAAGAAATGGAATATAAAACTAAAGTACACATGTATAGATGATTCTATTGTGAGATTGGAGAATTTGCAATAAACATCCTTAGAGGCTGATAATACGAATAGTTCTACCATTGTTAGATATGAAGATCAGGAAGCTTCATCCTCACATGTTTCTATGTTAGTTTCTATTGACTAGCCATCTACTAGTTCTAGCAAGTCACCAATTCGTCAATCCAGACTACATCAGACTCAAATTTTTAACTTTACAAGAGGAGAAAACACTAAAAAAAATAAGGGAAAATATTTTATTAGGCATTTAAGACTTTTATTTTGATTTATGATTCAAGTAGAAAATTATTTAATCGCTCTCTAGTCTGGTATTTTTCAAATTTTAAGCCTTTAAATTTAAAATGTCTTTTTGTATTTTGTTTTTTGATAATAAAATATGCAACCATCACTTTTTTATTAATGACTATTAATTGATGTGTGGTTATGGGTCCCACTTTGCCTTGAAACTCGTACAACAAAAAAATAAATAAAATAATGGTGTACAATCTATTATAGATTTAAAACAACTAGTAACTGATTATGTGTATAATGTTTATCTATGTATAATTCTTTGTAATAATGAAAACGATCCGAATATTAGTCTAAAGGGAACTACAATCCAAAATAACGTATCAGCTAAGTCTACCCATACTGCACCACACAATAGAGAAATTAACGTACCCCGCATTTGTAACCGTACCATATACCAAAGGAGGTTGACGCCAATGGACCAGATGAGGAACAACTACAAAATAGCAATAGTGAGTGTGAATAGTTATTGTGATGTTAAAGTAAGAAGATGTGGTGGTAGTAAAGGTAAGAAGATTTGGATCAGAGATCAAGATTCAAAGAATCAGCCGAGTCCGAGTCAACTCGGTCGAGTCGTATCCGTCTCAGCAGTTGGCCAATCTGATAACGATACACGTTACACCAATATAACGAGATTCAATTGAATCGGTCCTAACTCGATTACAACTCGAAGCTAAATCGGTTAGACTTGGCCAAGTCGAACCGAGTCAAATTGCTATAATGCAACCAAATTTGGAAAATCTGGGAAGCAAAAAAAAAAAAAAAGAGAAAAGAAGAAGAAAATAGATGAAACTCACAGTGAGTCGGCTGCAACTCGATTGATTCACACAGAAGTCCACCAATATTGAGGAAATTCCAAAAAAAAAAAAACAAAGAAGAGGCGAAGTATAAGAAGACCCACAAAATCAAAGAATCACCTTGACTAGAAGGCCTCTTCTTCTTCTTCTTCTTTCAGTAAAGACCCATCGCAGATCAATGGAGACCCATTACAAATTAGTGGAGACCCATCACAAATCGTCAATCGTTCACTGCTCACTTCGAGTCTTCGAATGAACTCTTTCTCTCTCTCTCTCTCTCTCAGAGCTTCTTCTTTTCTCTCTCTCGTGACTAAGAGCCAAGTAAGGATAAACACAAACAACCCTTTTTTTGCTTTTGATCACACGTGTGTGATTTTACTTTATTGGGCCTTATTCCTTATGTATAGAAAATTCTTAATTCAATTAGAAAATTATTGAAAAAATATAATTAGAAGAAAATAAAATAAAATTAAGACAATGACTTGTTAATCTATTAATTAAACACATAATTATTCATTTAAAATATTGAGATCTACTCGTGCTTGTCAAATTTATAATTGATAGATACATATTTGTTATTCTTGTTTTTATTTGAATTTTTTTAAAAAAATTAGGTACTAGTAAGTTAAAAAAAAAATTAATAACATATGTTTAAAGTTTAGTGTGTACTTAAATAAAAACATTCAACATAAATGATGATAAATATTTTCGGTTGCGTCTATATAATTTATTTTTATTATGTTTAATATGTTAAATAATGCATTTTTGGGATATAATGCTTGAATGATAATATTTACATTTTTTCAAAAATTTTCATGATTTTTTTAAAAAAATTTGGGTATTCTATCTATCGTTTTGAGCGTATTGACCGATATCATGCCGCGACTGATGTGTATCAATGCCCTCCGAGTCGATGACCGATATCGCGACTTTGAACCATGTTTGAGATTAAGCTCCAATACCGATTGATGAGGAGAGAAAAGGAAAAGAAAAAAGATATTGAATTCTCATAAGGTTTAGGCCAAAAAACACAGATCTCTATAGAGAATTTTTAAATTGATATTCAACTCTAGCTAAAATAATATAGAATACGTCCTTATTTCTAGACCAAGCATCCTACCATAAATAAATTACTTTCCTAAAAATTCAAATAATAAATTTAGTTACGCTCGTCCAAACATCCAATAGCTACGCCATCATGTAGTTCAGTCGTCTATTTTTTTTATGTTGTCCTACTATATAAGAGACTCTATTGTGCTGTAATGATATTTTCTATCCTTTTTTCTTCTTTTCTTTTTCTTTGATCAAATTTTACAAGACATCAAAGCATATTGCAACCCAAAAACATATTTAGCATTACAATTACTATTTTAGAGGAAAAATTTATTCTTGGACTAGGGTTGATGTCATACCTCATCAAACTAGACCTGCTGAAGGCAACTCCCAACTCGATCTTTTATGCACATTCTCATAATGTGCTTGGTTTTTGATTTCCTGGTGATTGGATAGGGCTTTTTATTTTTCAAAAACTTCAATATTTGATTTTTTGCTTCTTTCTTCAATTTCTTTGGTTCAGACCAAGCCTAAAGGGCTCAACTAGAGGTTCTTGGTGCTTGGTTGTGTGATGAGAGAGCAAGTGCTTGGTCTGTTATTTTTTTTGTTGATTCCAAAGCCTATGAACAATATCAAGATTAATGTTCACGATGTGAACAATTCTCGAAATTGAATATCTTGTTTTCCTTTGGCTTGAGTCTAGTCTAGGAAACCTCAATTGATTGTGGGTATTTAATTGGAAAGGCTGCAAGGTTAATTTGGGATGAACTTTATGTTGTTTGGGAGGTTCAATGGTCTAGATATATGCAAAGTTAATCTGTTTGTTCCTCTTATTCCTATCACAAGGTATAATTCTGTATTGTTGCTCCATTAGATGATTCTTAATTATATTTGACTAATTATTTGGTGAAAACTTGGTGGACTTCTCTTTTGTGTGCATCAATGTTTCTTCGTTGTTGTTAGGATTCCTTCCTAGGTTGTGTAGTTAAATGCTATGCTATGTGGTTTCATGGTTTGTGGTTTCTTTCTTGGGTAATGGTTTGCTACCCTTGTGATTGTGGCGTCAGATTGTTAGGCTTTGGGCTTTGTATTTTGGATTTGGTTCATGTGATTTAATCCTTGTTATACAATTTTTGTTTGTTGGAATTATGGGAAGTAGAAACTCTGACTTGTATAGTCCATTACGTTAAAATTGACTATGATTGCTAATAGTTGTCGAACCTCCTTCAACAGCCTCACACTCTCTTAGTCTTTCCTTCCATAAGTCCGTTCAATTCAAGCCCTCTAAGTATATTTCGAACCATCTGGGTCTTTAACTCAGATGCTTAGAGAGTTCACACAAACAACAGCTTGATAACCATTCTATTTGCCATGCCCTGACCTTTTCTCCTCCCTCAATATCTGTGCTCATAGCTAATGGTGCTTAAATGTCCCTGACCGGTGTTCAATCTATTATTTCTTCGCAACTAATGCTTCTCAATGTTTCTATATTCCACAACTTACTTTGAATATGATTTAAGTTAGTCAACTATTTGACTATGAATTTTTAACTCATTTTTCTTCTTCTGGTTGGGTTGTGTAGGATCCACATTCCAAGAAGCTAATTGGGACATTTTAGAAAGGTACAATTATATGTGTTGGACGAGTTGCATGTTCTAGATATTATTGCTTCTCCCGGTAATTTGTCTTCTTTTCATTTGAGTCTATAAACTTCTAATTTTTATATNGCAGCTCTCTTTGTCAAAAGAAGTGGATGATCACATATTTTTTTCAAAATCTGCTTGCAAAAAAGGTATAAGTAACTATCATCTTGCTTAAGGAAATAACAATGGATAAAGTGCAAAGCAAAAAGAAGAAGAACTAGGCCATCTTGAAGAAATAACAACAGAAGAAATTCCCCAAGTACAAATGGCAGATAATTTACCAAAATAAAAAAGAAACAATAACAATAACAATAACACCGCTAAAAGTAATTGTTTTAGTATGTTTTACTTCATCTTAAGGGTAGGAAATAGAGGCTACACAAAATAGAAGCATAAAATGGAAAAAGTGCACAGCAAAAAAAGAAGAGCCAGGCCATCTCAACAAAATAACAACATATGAACTTCCTCAAGTACGAATGGCAGATAATTAATCGAAATAAAAAAGAAACAATGACAATAACACCACTAAAAGAAATTGTTGTAGTATGTTTTACTTCAACTTAAGGGTATTTTTGTACTTTGTGTTTATATAAGCTAAGGTATACTGCCTTCTACATAATATTTTACTTGATCAAAAAAGAAATTGAACAAGTGCTTGATTTTTATTCCCTTTGTAAAATCTAAAGCCATTTGTTTGCAAGTTAGGCATGAGAGTTATCCATGCCTAACTTGCGGGGGAGTGTTATGTTATGCTTTATTTTTCAACTTTAGGGTATTTTTTTGTACTTGTTTATTTATAAGCTAGGGTTGACCTAACGCACTACCTCCACATAATATTTTTCTTCCTTTTCTCTTCTCTTCTCTCACAAACCTTTCCTTCTTCCTAAAACCTAGAATTTCATAATCTAACAGCATTACGGCAACAATAGATGCAAGAAATAGTGACCAAAAAAATTGTGATAGATAAGCTACTACAAAAGAAAAAAGCACACAAAATCAAAAAAGGAAATGTTGCACAAAAAAGGGAAAAAATACTCCAATTACCTAGAATATTATATTAGAACTCGATATTTTTCCTTTGAGGGGTGTTGGGGCAAAAACAAAAACCCTAACGTCGACTCCCTAACAGAAAATAGAGTAGAAAAAATATACTTTTACAAACTAATTAGCCACATCTGTGTGAATCAAGTGCCTTAGGAAAGAAAATTGGTGAAAAGCATCTTGGCAAAAAGCATCAGCAGACAACTGATTGCTGGAAAGCATAACAAGAAGACCAGCACAAATTAATCACCTACTATCTATGTTAACAAGTTAAAGAACTTTGTTGATAGGTCAAGAATCACCTAAGCAACTCATAGAAGAAAGATGATCAAAAGCATTACAAACAAACTTTCTATACAAAACGGCCACATGACATTGAAGAAACGTCAAAAAGCACCACACATCCACACTCCCCATTGAACTTTGACCATAATCTTGAACTATTTTTTTCTTTATTTTGAAGATCATGTGAGGAGGAGAGGAATTATGACAGTGACATGAAGAGACAGATCAGAAAGAAAGAGAAACGAATTGTGAGGAGAGTCCAAGAGTGGACCCGAGGAATCCAAGAGAGAGAGAGAAAGCCAGAGTTTAAATTGGTTATCAAAAGAGGATAAGTAGATTCTATTAAAAACGAGTTTCTAAATGCTGCTCCTAAGAAATTCTTTTCTATGATAGCTCTTCCTTTGTATTTTGAGATGGTTTCTTTTATGTCTCTTATATTGGCATTGATTATTCATATTTTTCCATTGGAAATCAAAAAACGTACGTGAGAAGGTAGAGAAAGGCAGAAAAATCATGCAATATGTTTTTCTTGCTGGTGGGGCAAAAAAGAAAATGGAGAGGACGCTACTGCCTGTTTGGTTTGCATCCGTAAAACAGTTTTCCTATTTTTGGATATGAAAAACATAAGCGAAGTTGTCTTGACCACAAAGCTTTGTATCCAGAAAATTGGGAACAAAAGTTGGAGTTTCAGAGAACACTAATAACATGTTTTCGCCAGTTTTGAGACAATTTCAGAAAAATTGAAAACACGAAATGCAATCTACTGTTCACTTAAAGGCATCATTTAAATGGAAAAAAAATTATCCCTCATCCACGTCTTTCACTTTGCTTTCAAGCAAAGCCCGATCAGTTCAATCAAACCCACTAGTCTCATCCGATGCTTCAACCCTTCAAATGGCACAAGCCACGTGAAAAAAGGTATGATTGGCTCCTAACAAGTTCCAAAATAATGTTCTTTCAATTTACTTTGTTTTCTTGCCGACTGATTTTGCATATTTTCTTAAGTTTGGCTTTTTCCTTAGATCAACCATACGCAAACTAGAAATTTGGAATCTATGTTGTTGGCTTTCTTTTGTCATTCTTCACAGTGAATGAAAGAATGACATCTTTCCTGCATGTTTAATTTTTGAAGTTAATTTTTCCTGGCTAAGATATGTCCGTAGGCATTCAACACCTATACTTTATCCTTGGGTTTTCCCTTTTTTTGGAAAACTTCGAGGGTTAATTTTTAGCATCAAGTAATGCAATGTTAAAAGTTGTGACTAAATCTTGTTTGTCCACAAGTTGTATAATACTTGCTAAGAAAGCAAAACGTGGTAATATACCCCACCCCCGCCCTTACGATGGTGCTCTTCTTCCAGTGCTCTTTTTCTAGAAGATTTTTACCAAGAGTTAACTCAAATTACATCCCCCTATTTTTACTTTTTGAATATTATTTTTTGAGAACATAGCCAAACAAGCCCTACTTTTCTTTGATCCACCTTCTGGGGCTGGGAAGAGAACAAAAATGAACCACAGATGGTGGTCAAGAGAGAGCCATGTGGAGATAAAGCAAGAGCAAATGAATTTGATGGAGGAAATCAAGGTAACATCATCCATAAATTTTATTAAGCTAACTTCTTAAAGTCATGAACTCTAGACTAATACTAGTATAATGCTGATTTACAGGCCAAATAGGCTGGGAGTCGACTTTAAGTTCCTGCATTTCTAATGGATTCACCTTAAGTGAAAACCCATATAAAGCATCCTAAATTATGTATTCCATATTCCGTTTAGTTTTCAAGAACTTTTAACTCATTTATATTTATTAGATTTAGATCTTCACAAAGTGCATCGTTAATTACCAAGAACCCTGTAAGAATGATATGAAATCCAACACTATGATTAAGTTATCAACGAAAAGATACTAAAGAAAGTGAGACGTTCCTTTTTCTTTCTTTTTCTAGCTGTATCAAAGAAAAAAAAAAGTAAACTCTTGTCAGTAAGAGACTGCCTATCAACTCAAACACACTAAAAAATCAGTCACCACAAGAAAAAAAAAATAGCACACAAAAAGCTAATTCTTGACAGTCTTTGTATGTATTCTCATTTAATTGTCAAAAGAAATATGGACCAGGAAATGAAGCAACATAAAAGGTAAAAATTCCACTAGAAACATTACCGTCAGCGCAGCCAAAGGTGAGCCATCAAATGCTGAGAGAACCAGCTCACTATTTAAAAAAGCTTCATACAACTGACGCTACATTGAATAGAATAGCAAAAGATATGGTTAAGATTTTTGTAAGCAACAATAAAGAGGGAGATTGATGAATTGTGGATTGATTTGAAGGCCATTTACCTGGCAACTGGTCAATCTTAGCCACACAATAATCTCATTCTTCTTGGACAATTTCACAGTGGTGGTGCTATCATCTTCATGAAATACCTCACTTTTCAAACGACGCAGAAAATAGGGTTGAATACGTTCTCTTAAGTCCTGACAAAGAAAAAACAAAGAAACCATAATAATATTGTAAAGGACAATACTTCACACTCTTATAACCTGTGAAAAGCATACTCTCAATAGCAGCAACAATGGCACAAACAATCAAGAATCCACTGAGAAACCCGGAAACATTTAAATCAAGTGTAAATACATCAAAATACAGACTCAGCAGTAGGTGTCAGAGGAATAAAGCAATGGTGATACAAAATAGATGTACAACAAAGCTAAATAATACAAGGGTTTTCCAAATGTGCTCAGTAATTTTTCTACACTCATTAAAGAGGGGTCTGATTATTGGTTGGGTTCAGGGGGATGAGCCCTATTCCTGGCAGGGGCTTGTTCAATGCAGGGATGGTGGGTGTTGAATTGTTAACTGCTCCTTTAAATTCTGCTAATGTTTTTTTGAGCGGTTGAAAGCTTCCAGTTTCAGCTTCTTTATATAAGCAGCTTATGGCCAACTGTAAATCCAACTGTGTAATGATATGATGAATGTTGACGTAAATAAGGGTAATAGGGAATCTCTAGCTCAACCTACGGACCAGAAGGATGGAAGCAATTTACAATGATGAGGTCCCTAAAGCAGATGAAAGGAACTTTATCACCAATAATGAGAAGTGAATAATATTAAAGAATTTCTTGAAAAAGATGGATTTATTATCGGTTTCGAATAGAAGGGAAGGCAAGCATGCTAACAACAAACTTGTAAATTAATCATCACCTTTGCAACTGTTGAGCCAATACACTTTTCCCTATCAGATGCATTTTTTTCATTTCCACGAAGAATGAAATACTCGTATTTATCCTTAAACCTAAGGAAAAAACAAAAGAAACAATGACATTTTCATGCCCTGAGGGACAACAGTTCAATAATATCCTGATTGAGCGTAAAGCTAGTAGTTACCAGTTCTTGTCACCCAAAAGCTCAGGACAACAGAAGTTGAACAAGGCCCACAGTTCCTATTTTCAAGTAATAAGAAGCAAAAACAAGAGAGATTTGTTTCAAAATTCCATAGATTTTAATGGAGGATAGTATTAAAAGATTAAATCAGTGACCAAAAGTTCTCTAACATAAAGAAGAATACCTTGAGATTATTTTGAATTGGTGTCCCACTTATAATAATACGATGAGCACAAGGTATCTCAAGTAAACTTTTGGCCCTTTGTGTACTTGGATTCTTTATGAGATGCCCCTGAATTTGTAACCAGAGGAAATTTTATTGAATGTAAATAGAGAATAAACTAACTTTTCTATCAAAGTTAAATATGCTTCTATGACAATGCACATAGCAATGAGAGGATCAAATGCTCAAACCAGTTATTTGACGTTGTACAATTGGACAGATAAAGTCCTTAACACGAGAGGAATAAGATCCCTCACAAAATCCTCTAGGGCACACAATCAGATTTGGCAGCAGTGGAAAAGTCCACACTAGCTTCTCTTACTGGTAATGATGATGAGAATTCTAAGGGTCGTTGTATTTAGTCTTTGCACAAGTTAACTTCCCATGTCTACAAGTCGGAAATTTCTTCATACACCGGCTTTTAATGAAAAGAGCATCTAATAGTGAGAAGGTAGTTATGATTGGCCTGCAATCCACCCACAGTTCACACTCATTAAAACACACATTCAATAAAAAAATATGTGTAAGTTATCTAAGTTTGTCCACTCTAACACCTAGAACACCCCCCATGCCGACTCTTGTCAGTAATTATAAATTGTCTATTTTTTCAATCTCAACTCTCAACAAGTTTTCCTATCCAAAAAATATATTGTAGTGTTAAATTTGATTTGACATTTCAGTCACACCATTGAACCCCAGCATCAAAAAAATGGAGTAACATAATGATCAAGAGTCATATGGCGTTCAGTTTTAACCTAACTTAGACCATAAAAATTCAAAGTCCTTTAAAATTTGATGGACTTCTATTACAATGTTAATAATCACTGGACTTGACTATTTCTTCTACTTGTTTAACTTGGTAATCTTCAGGGACTATAGTCACACAGGATAAACAGACTTTAAACAGGAAAAAACAAAAATATAAGCCTCCAATAATAATTCGCATGACCAACATAGTGCCAATGGAAAAAGATGATATGAAACCCTTTGGAATGTGCTAGTGAGAGCCACAATATATCCACAACTACTTTTCCAACGAAAGAAGTAATATCAAGTAATGTTTACAGTGGTACATCATGCTTTTATCAGATAAATAAAGCACTTGATCCTGGAGATCCGCTATACATTTGACCGTGAAATTAGAATCCAATTCTGTCAACCTTGTCCTTAAACCCACTAATCAGAGTGTTTTACCTCCTATAGATTTTTTTCCCTTTCTTTTTTGCGTTAATCAAGAATTGAAAAGTCACACAATATGAAATTACCAACATGTGTATGAGGGAGTTTATTTGTGTTCGATGCAATATTTCAAAATAAGATCTTTGCCACAAAAACATGATTCATGAACATTTATCAATCCATTATAGGCAAAAGTGAGACCTCAAGTTTTTTTGAAGGAATGGAACCAACCCCCCGAAAATTAAAAAAAAAATTAACTAAACAAATGCATATGAAAACCTGAAATAGATATGGAAAAATTATACTACCTCATCAAGTATCATATAATCCCATATAATCTCATCCTCACTATTATTATCATGGAAGTAATAATCTCCACATAAAGATCTTCTGTTATTCCGCACGATGTCATAAGTCGTGAGAAGAACACCTTTGTCCTGCAAGAAGGACAAACAAAGGAAACAAACATCAAACCTTTATACAAATCACAACTACGAAAAAACCATTTGAATCCAAATATCTTTTTCCTCAAAACTAAATTCACAGAAGACAGACAATAAAAAATGTGAAACGTATGACATGGTTCTAAACTTTCAAAAGAACAAAAATCCAATATCAACAGGGCCAAAGTGTGGAACTTTGTAATCATGTCAAAGTCAAAGTTATGTTTTGGCCCTTTTTTCTTTTGATACGAAACAAAACTTTCATGAACCGAAATATAGAGTACAAAGTAGTGGACAGGGAATCCACCCCCTGAAAGAAAGATGGGCTTAAGTAAGATGTCAAAGTTATGTTTTGGCTCTGAACTCCTTCGATTAATTGCAACTCTGGGTTAAACAATGTTGGTACAAACACCAAATCATTACATGGGCAGCATTTCACTTGCCCAAAAGTATTTTATCTCACAGGATGTCCAAACAGGAACATGTAACTCTGAATGTTTGCAGAACATGCATAATATACCCATTTCTCCTTCTTTCCTTTTGCTTTCCAGTAAGAAACATAGAAGATGGGAAAAGACCTGAAGTATATACTGAAGCTCGTACTGCCTAGATTTTGCACAAGTCCCAAAATACCTGCACAGAAAAACAGGTGACTAACTGCATACTACAATAATCAGAGTAGATGTATAAAAGAGCCTCACTCTCTCGTCTTCTCAGACAGGCCAACAGTGGATAACTCTTTAATCCAATGGGGTAACAGTGTCTTGGGTGCAACAATTAATGCCCTTTTGATCAAAGAAGAGTGAAATAATCCACTCAAAAAGCCACAAATCTGAAATGAAATAAGAGAGAATCCATTATTCACATACATCATGAGAAATAAAGAAAACAAACCATGACAAGAGTTTCGAATTAAAACCTGCATTGTCTTCCCTAAACCCATATCATCACCCAAGATTCCTCCCTTTCCCTGACAATGTAAAGACCAAAGCCACTTCAAACCATCACGCTGATGGGGATAAAGCATTTTTGAAATTTTTCCAGGTAACTTATACATTGACTTAGGGCCTTTCAATGTAATTGAATCATCATCACCTGAAACAGAATCATCTCCGTAATCATCCAATACATCAACCTCATCAGAATCATCAGATAACTGCCCAAACTTGCCACTTCCACTCTTCGCTTCTTTAACAACTTTTCTCTGACTCAAAACAACACAATCTTCATCATCGTCATCATCCTCTTCTTGGACTGCAACATTGGATCCAATGGATTGTCCTGTACACACTGATTTCCCACCAAAATTCTTGATTTTGTTGACCCTACCTACAAAAATTTTGCCCTCAGAATCACTTAGAATATCATTTGCCTCTTCATTCCCATTCACCAATGTATTAACACCAGCTCTGACCCTAGACTCATCAGTTGCACCCGACGAGGAATCGGATGGTTCGGATGATAGCGAAAATGAAGAAGCAGCACTTGTAAATCCCAGAAGTTCCTCTTCTTTCTGTTGATTCTTCACTTCGTTAAAAAATTTAACGGAGGAATCTTCCCTCCAATCAACAGTTTTAGGAGCTTGTCTCTTTTTGATTGATAGAGTCTCAAGCCTTGAGCTTAAATCATTGAGAATATCCATAATTGTATTTTCCACTGGAGGTGATGATTCAAAATCAGAAAGCCCAGAGAATTTTGGCTCATCATTTTCAGTTCTCTTCTTGGGCTCTCCATCATCATTATCACCTGTGCATGGAGCCTTGCAGAGCCGTCGTCTTCCTTGAACCTTTACCTTCATTTGCTTCTTCTCTTCTACAATTCATGTATTCATTCATAGATTTAACTTAAAACCCATAATTAAAACAGTGAAACTGCATATATAGCTATTGAATGCCTTGGCCTCCTGAGCCTTTCAGGCCAGAAACAAATATATAGGTGTAGAAATCAAATGCCAAACAGATTATAAATACTTCATATTCATGTGCGGAAGAAGGAATGAGAAAGCAAGAGAGATGTGAATTGAGAAGAGATAGCAGTAACACTGGAGTTTGGGAATTTATCCAGAAGCTTAGCTCTCACCTTTACCATTCTGCCTGGATGAAGCTATGGCCTCTGTGCTTCCTTGTGACGACTTTTCTCCTAGTATAATCCATCAATAGTTAATCTATGAAAGAAACCACATACCATATTGAAGGTAAACAAGCATATAGCTCGGAGATCTTTGTGTATATTTATACATAGAGATACCTAGAGGATGAGAATCAAAATCAATAATTTCAGAAAAATTGGGTCTATTTAACGTAGGCTTGTGCTCACAATCATCATCATCATCTCTTCCAAAAATGCTACAGCCTTCAAGCTCGATCTTTGATGGTTTTGTTTCATCTGTATAATGATCGAGAGAAACTGAGAGATAGAGATCCTAAAAAAAAGGGTCATTCCCAGCAAGGAGAGTTGAAATTTGGCCATTATGAGAACAAAGTAGCTACATGAAATGGGAAAGCACAACCTCAACGTCATGGTTGTAAGCAAGAAAACTTTACCGTTGCACATACAGGAATACCTGGAGAAGGAGAATCAAAATCAGCGATTCCCGAGAACTTAGGAACATCGTCGCTGTAGCCGCTATCTCTGGATGAATGTTTACAGAGACGGCGTCTACCTTCGAGCTTGACCTTCGATTCCATCATTTTCCCTTCAAAATCATTCAATGTTGAAGTCATTTCTAATATACTATATGATTTAAAATAAATAAATAAAAGTAGAGAGGGGGATTTAAATGAACCAGTAGGAGGAGGAGGAATTGAAGACTGGGGGCGAGATTGAGAAGCGGAGAGGTCTTGGAGGAGCCGGTTGTGACGCTCATTGAGGCTCAGTGGTTGTTTCTTCTTCTCCGCCATTTCTACTTCTCTGCAAAGAATTTTTTTGTCAATAGCAAACCTAGCCTAGACTACCACGATTTATGGGCTTTTGCTTCGAGAAGAGGGGTGTTTAGGGATTCGGGATTACTTGAGTAGTAGACTTTTGTTCTTTCCCGCTTTGTGGAGGAATTTGAATCATGATGTGATGGAGCACACATCGGTCTTCGCGTTGGAACAGTAACACTTGCCACTTTAATCTCGACGGAAGTACATGGAGATGCAGCCCCGAGTTCCACTTATAATTCATAATTTATAATCTATAATCTTCTATAATCTATAAGACGATCTAGTTTTTGAATCTTAAAATTGATAAGGATTATTCAAATTTAATCTAATTCAGTCTAGATTTTATCTAAACTAATTTGAATTGATTTTTGTGATAAAAATTATTCCCAAATTTTGTTTTTTCACCCATTAATGTCACCATCCGACCTGTCACTCTTCTCTCTCTTCTTGTTTCTCTAGATCTCTTTCATTTCTCATTCTTTTTTCTCTTCTCTCTTCTCACCGCAAGTTTATTTTTACTCTCTTGCGCTTGTCCTCTCATGCCTCGTCAGAGTCAGCCACCATTGACGATAGTCATCACTTCCATCGTCTTCATGTATTCTATATCTCCCCCTCTCTCTTTCCTCTTTGACCCCTCTACAACCCACACCCATATTCCCACCACACCGGTGCATGGGACCTTTCTCTTTCTATATGTTTGTGAAGCTAAACATAATAGTGATTATTTTGCAGGCTAGTTTCAACAAATAATTTATAAAGAAGAACACAAGAGAATCGCCAAAAAGAACTAACTAAGTAGCCACAATTTAAGTCTTGTAGAGTTCGTCGAGAGTTTCAATTTGATATATTATGGGCCCCAAAACTCCAAACAAATCAAAAGTTATGACCAAAACAGTGTCAACCCTTCTTAGACTTGGATTTCTGACTATGCTGATCTAATAACTCAATGTATCTTAGCGCCATTAACGTGTGTTTGGGTCTTACGAAGTTTTTTCCCAGTTTTGAGTTTATTTGGATTTTTCGTAATTTAATTATTCCTTACGTAATTAGGGTTTTCAGCTTATTGTTTGATATTTAAAGGATATTTTCATATGTTTTAGGGTTAACTATCATTATTCTAATTTTATAAAGATTGTGGCAACTTAGTCAGTTCTTTTTGGGCGATTCTCTTGTATTCTTCTTTGTGAATTATCTGTTGAAACTAGCCTGCAGAATAATCAATATTCTGTCCGGCTTCAATTGGTATCAGAGCTTCAGAATCTTCTTCAGGTGAGATTTCATCAATTCAATGGTTGGTGGTCATGATCGTGGTCGTCATGGGCAGGTTCCGAACGAGGAAGTCCCACATTGTGACCGTAGCGTTCAGGATGTAATGATTGAGGATTTGTAGAGGCAAGTTGCAAAGTTAACCCGGCGTCTAATGGTGTGGGATTTTGGTGATCGTGAGATGGAAGATCATGGTTTTGAATCCAGTTTCGAAAACCGGTATCACAATCATGCTTAATTCTAGGAGCACCGTGGTCGGGAGGATCGTCGCAGAGACCTCGGTTTTAGAGTGGATCTATCTGAGTTTTCTGGTATGTTACAAGCCGAGGGATTCATCGATTGATTGAATGAAATAGAGCGAATTTTTGATTATAAGCAAGTCTCAAATCGTGTCAAAGTGAAAACTGGTCACTATCAAACTCAAAGGCAGAGCATCTGCGTGGTGGGAACAGTTGAGGCAATCACGAGAAAGGCAGGGCAAACCTAAGATCATTGATTGGGAGAAGATGAAGAAGAAGATGTAGGGACACTTCCTTCTTTTCGGCTACACTCAAACCTTGTTTCAGCGACTTCATTCGTTGAGGCAAGGCACGAGATTGGTTGATGATTACACGGAGGATTTCTATCAATTGATAGTCTGGAATGATTTATCTGAGACAGAAGAGTAGATGGTGGCACGATATTTGGGGGGATAGCAACCCCTGTAGGATGTCCTCAGTCTCCACTCATTGTGGATCGTTTTTGAAGCATACCAACATGCAATTGTTGTGGAAAAACAGTAGAGCAGGATACCAGTGATTAGAAACGATCAAAGTAGTTGACCAAACTGTGGGGAACAAGGATATAGAGCGACTGAGTGCAGGAAGCCTGCCAATCAAAAGGGCAAAAATCTCTTGATTGAGGAAGACGTGGTAGACGAAACTGAGGAGATTGGAGAGCCTGTGTATGATTATGATGCAGATGGAGATGTGTTGTATGGAGATGGCCATGAGACTCTAGTCGTTCAAAAAAGTCTACTGACTCCCAAGGTCGATTCAGGGGACGATTGGTTTAGAACCAATATTTTTCACACGACCTACACAATTGCAGATAAAGTTTGCAAAATGATCATTGATAGTGGCAATTGTGAGAACGTAGTGTCTGAAGAGACTGTCCAAAAATTACAGTTGAAGACAGATCGTCATCCCAAGCCATACAAATTGTCATGGTTCAATAAAGGAAGTGAGGTAACAGTAGATAGGCAATGCTTAGTGTCTTTTTTGATTGGCAGGAAATTTTTTGATAATGCTTGATGTGATGTTATGGCTATGGATGCTCATCATGTACTATTAGGCAAACCTTGGTAGTACGATCGCAATGTTATTTATGATGGGCAGAAAAATACATATTCCCTTAGCATCAAAGGGACAAAGATTGTGTTGGCTCCTCGTTAGTAAGGAACCATTCTTACCCCGGTGGCCAATAATACTAACCTGCTTTCTATGTCCAGGTTTTTACTAGAGATTGAGCATGGAAACGTGGTCTATGCTCTGCTGCCTTGTGGGAATAGTACAGCAGGTGTGGACCCAGATTTACCAACAGAGGTGTAGCAGCTGCTAGTAGAGTTTTCTAACCTGATGCCAAAGAATCTTCTTCCTGTGCTACCTCCAATAAGGGATATTCAACATCAAATTGACCTTGTTCCAGGGTCGAGCTTGCCTAATCGACCGGCCTATTGCCTCAATGCCAAGGAATCTGAAGAGTTACAGCGATAGGTGGTAGAATTGTTGAAAAAGGGCTATATCCATGAAAGTATAAGCCCATGTGCAATCCCTGCCCTGCTGGCACCGAAGAAAGATGGCTCTTGGTGTATGTGTGTTTACAGTAGAGCAATCAACAAGATTACAATGAAATACAGGTTTCCAATTCCCCGCTTGGATGATATGTTAGATTAGCTATCCGGTTCTAAGGTTTTCTGAAAAATTAACCTTAAAAGCGGATACCACCAGATCAGAATAAGACCCACAGATGAGTGGAAGACAGTGTTTAAGACGCAACATGGGTTGTATGAGTGGATGGTTATACCTTTTGGACTATCCAATGCACCTAGTACATTTATGAGATTTATGCATCAGGTTTTATAGTCTTTTATGGGAAATTCGTTGTAATTTACTTTGACGATATACTCATTTATAGCCCGACGTGGGAGTCACACTTTGAGCACCTCCGTGTTGTTTTTGATGTGCTAAGGACGGAGCACCTATTTGTCAATCCGAAGAAGTGTTCTTTCTTCACAACTTCTATAAACCTTTCTTGGTTTTGTTGTGTCTACTGATGGTGTTCATGCAGATCAGTCAAAGATAGATGTAATCTTGGAGTGGCCTAAACCAAAGACCTTGCATAATGTTAGAAGTTTCCATGGATTGACGTCTTTCTACCATCGGTTCATCAGAAACTTCAGCACCCTGATTGCCCCTATTACAGAGTGTTTCAAGGGATGTGATTTCCAGTGGTATGAGGAGGCAAAGGCCAGTTTTCAACTGGTCAAGTAGAAGATGACAGGGGCACCAGTCTTGACACTTCCTGATTTTGAAAAGGTGTTTGAGGTAAATTGTGATGCATCTGGGGTTGGCATTGGTGGTGTTTTGAGTCAGGAGGGGCGCACCATAGCTTTTTTTAGTGAGAAGCTATTGGGATCAAAGAAGAATTACTCCACCTATGATCTAGAGTTTTATGCTATAGTTCAATCCCTGAAGCATTGACGTCACTACCTAATACAGAGGGAGTTCATTCTTATCACTGATCATGAGGCCCTAAAGTACATCAATGGCCAACACAAGCTGAGTAGATAGCATGCCAAGTGGGTGGCATACTTGCAGGAGTTCACGTTTACGCTGAGACACCAAGCAAGGAGTCTAAATCGTGTTGTAGATGCACTGAGTCGTCGTATGTTACTCCTTGCCACCATGAGCACTAGAGTTGTAGGGTTTGAGGTTTTCACTAATATTTATGGAGCAGATCCTTCCTTCTGGAGGATAACTCAGGAGGTAATTGATGGTCAACGTCATGATTTTATTTTGCATAATGGTTATCTGTTTCGCGGATTACAATTGTGCATTTCAGATTGTTCAATAAGGCAGCATATTATTAGTGAGCTTCATAACGAGGGTCACTTTGGGTGAGATAAGACATTGGTCCTGATCTCTTCTGACTATTATTGGCCCAAATTGGCCAATGACGTGGCTCATTATGTGGAGTATTGTTATGTGTGTCAGCGGTCCAAGGGAGTTCTCACTAACGCAGGCCTATACACTCCTTTACCTATTCCTGAGGCCCCTTGGTTCGATGTCAGTATGGACTTTGTGTTGGGCTTACCCCGTACCCAATGGGTCTTAGATTCTATTTTGGTTGTGGTTGGCAGGTTTTCCAAGATAGCCCATTTTGTAGCTTATAGGAAAATAATGGATGCTGCCTGGATCGCCCATCTCTACTTCGGGGAGATTGTGTGTTTACATTGTATTCCTTGATCAATCACTTCAGACCGTGACACCAAGTTCATGTGTCATTTTTGGAGGAGTTTATAGGAAAAACTAGGGTCACAGTTGAATTTCAGCAGTGCATACCACCCCTAGACGGATGGTCAAACTAAGGTGGTGAATCGGAGTTTGGGCAACCTTTTGAGGTGTTTAGCAGGAACTAAACCAAGGCAGTGGGATTTGGCGTTACCT